CGAAAGCGGGCTGGGAAGGAAGGAAGCGGCCTCGTCCGCGTCGCCGTGTAAAGGAGAGCTTCTCCGGCGGCCGCTGGAAAGCGGCCCCCTTTTTAAAAAGGGCTTTTTTTTAGAGGTGGGGTTGCCTAGTGGATTTTGGGAGTGGACAGCACCCCCAAAAAAGGAACTTTCCCCCGTCACTCAACGTGTTTCCATCTAAGCCAGTAATTCTCGACCTTTTTCGAGTCGTGACCCCCTTTTCTAATAGCCAAGTAACCTGCCACTCACCATTGGCATAAAAAGTCATTTTTAATGGGATACAGTCATCCGTTCCCAGAAAGTAGAGGCTTATTTCTCTCCCATAAAGGGTCTGTTTCTCATCCGTAGGCGTACCCGCTAACTTTCCTATCCCGCTCTGAAAGGTCAAGGCAGAAATTACGAAAGAAGGGCTACCAGACTGGTAAGGGGACCACAGCCCCCAGAAAAATACTTTGCAACTTCCTTAGGGGTCATGGCCCCAGGTTGGGAAGCGCTGCTTTTTAAAATGGCTTTTTAAAATGGCCTGATTGGAACAGTACTGATGAATCTAAGGCTAAGAGGATTAAAAACAGCTTTTAATGCGGGTAGTGTTTTCTGAATTATAAGAATGTACATTTTCCTCGAGGAAGAGGATTCCACCGTTAAAGGGACTCGGGCATCTTTGGGCAGGATTTGTCCAAGAAAGTTTGCCTCGCCCATATGACATTATATTATACTCCAAAATTATTGCAGGGGGGGTGCCCTTTAGGGAGAAAAAACCCGCACACGGGCTCTGGAATGACACTGCCTATATTTGCTATGACTTGATCTAGGTGAGAAGGATGGAGAGAACGAGAGAGCAACTGCGTGTGCCTGAAAATTTTGTCTGTTTAAGAAGTGAACAGAGCCTCGGAGTAAGCCTGTGATTCTTAGTGATTAGTGGGTATTTGATGTGACATAAAAATGACTCTGTGGAAAGACGTACAGAGAAGAAAGGCCTCACATAATGCTGAAGGGCACAATCGTAATTAGAGGGAAACGGGCTGAGGGCCACCTGAGCTGACACTTAAGCCAGCCTAGCTTGTGCTGAATCCAAATCCTTCCCAGCCTAAAGAGGTTGGAAATTACTATCTTAACCCTAGCTGGCTGGATAGCTCCGTGTCTTAGGTCTCTGGCTGTGGAACCAGAAGTTGGGAGTTCGATTCCCGCATTGGGCCTCCTGGGAGAAGAACCAGCCTGGGTAGCCTTGGGCAAGCTGCACAGAGTCCCAGGATTTTTCCTAGAAGAAGGGACTGGGAAACCATTTCTGGGTACTCCCTACCTGGAAAGCCCTGGAAACAGTCACCATAAGTCAACGTTGATTTGATGGTGCACTGTTACTCATGCCCTAATCCTGTCCTAAACTTGTGCTTGGGTAGCTGCTTTCAGCCAGAACTGATAGAGCATTGGTTGTGACATAACAGGGCAGGATTACTGGTGAACATGAAGAAGACAGACGCCATGACCACAGGGGAATCACATAGCTTTAGTGCTGATATTGGAAACATTGAAATAGTTAAAGATTTTCTGTGCCTTGGTTTAATCATCTATCAACATGGAGGCTGCAGCCAAGAAATCATCAGTTAGTTTATGAATGGTTAATTAGCCATAAGCAAGGAAGTCCTGCTTTTAATTTGAAAGACGTGTCTGTTAGAATATGGTTTCTGATTGCATCTGGGCTTATTTCTGGCCAGTGAGAATGTTGTGGCTTTCGTTTAGGACATTAAATCTGGCAAGTACCGTATTTTTCCCATACTTTTGTCTAAACGATGTACCTTTTCGCTCATTTTTAAGTGTCTTACAATATTTGGAACAGGTTTTAAATGCTTGCAATCATTAGCCCACCTCCTGAACCCTATGCAAACTTAATATGGTGTTGTTCTGAGTCGTCCTTAATTTTTTGTGATTTTTTGTTTTCCCTATTTAAATGCATTGAACTGTCCATTCAATTGATTTAAATGGGGAAAATAAAATAATCACCAAAAATTAATGAAGACTCAGAACAAAACCAAATTAAGTTTGCACATGTTTCACAAGGTGCACTATGGAATCCAAGCATTTAAAACAGGTTTCAAACATTTTAAGACACTTAAAAATGAGCAAAAAGGGACATCGTTAAGTGAAATTCCCCCATAGAGAACATCGTTAAACAATGGGGGAAATTCCTCAAAAAAACCCATCGCTGTGTGAATTCATCGTTGTATGAAGCAATCGTTGTGCGAGGCACCACTGTATATGTTTTCTCACACACACACACATAATGAGAGAGAAACAGGTCCTTTGAGGCAGAAAGAAGTCTCCTATACACACACAGGTGCTGACTTTAATATCTTGCTCTGAAAGGTATTCTCTCCAAATAAGTAATTAGTGGAATTTGCTCTGTTTCCTTAGGTTGAAACAAATCAGAACCTTCTTCAAGTTGGAAAGCCTTTTCCATGTCAGATGAGGATGAAGACTGTTCTTATGGTAGCAGAGAAGCCATCTTTGGCTCAATCGATAGCCAAAATCCTGTCAAGAGGTTAGGAGGAACTTACATCTATTTTATAGTTCAATTTTGCTTCTGTCATTGGGCAATTGTTGGGTAAAGATTTTTATAATAGTAGGTATAAAATTTATAAGAGTTGGGGCTGTAAGCTCATACTTACATAACCTTATGGTATCTCTCTTTAAAAGCAGCCAAAAAGCATTATAATTCTGTCTGTCAGTTGCTGGAGATGGGGTAGAAAGATGAAGGGCAGTAGAAGGCTGTTGCCTTCAAGGTGTAGTTGTATGGACATAAGATGCTAAACTTGGATGAAACCTTGGTTTTATCCCACTCATGTGCTATTAAGCACATGAAAGTGGGCTGCTAAATTTTGGTGATGGGGTGGGTAATTCTGTCATGGAACTGTTATCACTTCTTCCTAAGCGCTGTTAGCTTTACAATAGCTGACATGAGAAGCAATAGTGATGTTTTTCTCCTTACCTTTTAATTTTGTTGTTTATGTTGTTCTTAAAAACCAACCAACAAACAAACCCACCAACCTTCTAGGTCAGTCAGCGAGAGTCAGTTAAGTTCTCAGGCCCAAAACTAGAATTGTTCTGGTCTGCTTTGAGATGCTGAGGGCACTTAGAAGTAAGTGGACTAAAGTATGTGGCTAAAATATTCCCAGATAGTGAGTATGCTATTATTACGTCTATATTACCTCCTGGGAATACATTTATTTATTTCATGTCCAGCTTTTCGCTCAATACAAGGACCCAAAATGGCCTAAAAAGTAGTTTAAAAACCAGGTATCTCTAGAGTTACAATCATTTATAGTGTTAAAACTGAATTACCATATTTTTCCGTGTATAAGACCATACCTTTGTCTAAAATCTTTAGACTAAAAATTGAGGGCCGTCTTATACACGGACGTAAGCTGAGAGAACAAAAACAAGTGGAGGGGAAAGCACGGATCAAAGCGATCCTGCAGCGCTTTGATCCCTTTCCCCCTACACTTGCTAAGCCCCATTTATTTTTCTTATACATGGAAAAATATGGTAAACACATCATTGTATTAAAAGAATCACTAACTTGAAATACTTCAAAACAGTTTGAAAGCAACAGTAAAAAAGTGCAGCTCATTAAAAACTACCGTTTACAACAAATAAAACAAATGTATCTGGGAGTAAAGTTGTCTTTATTAAATGGTACCCACACTCAATGTTTCTAAAGGCAAAATGAGTAACTGTACGGACATTATGTGAAATGTTTGGATTGTGTCATTCTGATTGCCATGTCTTGTCATAGGAAACATATCTTCTCGGAAAGGGCTAAATGGGGCGTGTTCAGTCCATGAGTACTCAGGATCATTTGCAGGTCAAAGCGCCCATTTCAAGATGACATCTGTATGTGGCCATGTGATGACGTTGGATTTTATAGGTATACCATTGTTTGTTAATCATTTATAACATTGTTTGGTACTGTTGTTATCTAAAGCCACAGCGGTGTGGTGTTAGGTAGCCAGGAGAGCGAAAAGCAGGGCAGCAGAGCTAACTGAAACTTGTAATAAACTGACCTCTGGAGCAGTATGAAACAGACCAGCAACCCATTGGAGTTCAGAATGCCGATCCAGTTTTGGAGTTGGGTTTGTTAGAAGTGTTGTGTAGTTTCAGAAGAATGACTCAATTACTAAAAAATTTCAGATTGTAGTTTGCCTCCAGATTAGATTAAGAAAAGTCGTTTTAAACTAGGTTTGTTATCCTGATTTGAAGTTTTGTAAGTGATCTATGCCCAATTCAGTTGTTATTGAAACTGGTTTTATTTTAAACCAGAATCAAGGGAGGATATTCCAAGTGTTCAAAAGGCAGAAAGCATATACAGTAAATTAGAGTTGTAGCCCTTACAGTGAGAGCATGGTTCTGCATTTAAGTCTGAACCATACCATTACTTAAAAAATAGTTTTATTGTTCAAGGAGAAAGTAGAAAAGGGAGGGTTAGCAGCTTCTGTGTTTACAGAATGTTGTGAGATTTATTCCTTTTTGTATATTCTACAGATGGGTGTTGATAAATACCTTTCTAACATTTATATACAATGCAGCCGTAGAGTCTGGGTGCTCTCAATTTTGTATTAAAATCTGCATTTAATTCTGTTGTTTTTCTCAGGAAAATACAACAACTGGGATAAAGTAGACCCAGCAGAACTTTTTAGTAAAGCCCCTACGGAAAAGAAAGAAGCTAATCCGAAGCTGAACATGGTGAAATTCTTACAGGTATATTTTCTAAGCAACCATTTTCCCCTGAACAAGCTGACCCCTTTAAACATGTGCTGAGACTCAAATTAGAAGCTATTGCTGCATAAGCAAAACACGGGTAGATGGGGTGATAGGCTGATGGGAATGTAGTATAAGTAGCGTGCAGTGTTCTGCATTCAAATAAGTAAGGATTTAGCTTTAGATGAAACATTGATTAGATTGATTAGATTGGTTGATTCTACCTGATTGGTAGAATCCAGTGGCAGATCTTTTTCCCCAATCCTCATAGGATCATAGAACAATGGAGTTGGAAGGGTCCTCTAAGGCCATTGAGTCCTAACCCCCAGCTCAATGCAGCAATCCAAATCAAAGTATATCTGACAGATGGCTGTCTAACTTTCCCTAGAATGCCTCCAGCATTGGAGTGTTCACTAGCTCCCAAACTAATTAGTCCCTTTGTTATATTGCTCTAACAGAATTTTTTTCCTGACACTCAACCAAACCCTGGCTTCCTGTAATTTGTGCCCATTGTTGCATATCCTGCACTCTGGGATGATTATGAACAGATCCTGCTCCTTCTCTGTATGACAACCTTCAAAAGTATTTGAAGAGTTCTGTCATATATCTTCTCTATTTTCTTTTCTCAAGGCTGAACATGCTGAGTTCTTTCAATCTTTCCTCCTAGAGCTTGGTTTCCAGTCCCCTAATCATCCTTCTTGCCCTCTGAATGTGTTCCAATTTGTCAGCATCCTTCTTGGAGAGTGGTGTCCAGAACTGGACACAAGACTCAAGAGGAGACCTAACCAGTGCTGAACCCCATAAACCTTATGGGGTTTGGAGACTATACTTCTACTAATGCAGCTTAAAATAACATTGGCCTTTTTTGTAGCCACATCACAGTGTTGGCTCATATTCAGCTTGTGATCGACAACAATTCCAAGACCGTTCTTGCATGTAGTACTACTGAGCCAAGTATCCCCCATCTTGTAACTGAGTGTTTGCTCCTTTTTCCCTAGGTGTAGAACTTTGCACTAATCCCTGTTCATTTTCATTCTGTTGTTTTCATCCCAGTGCCTGAGCCTATTAAGAGCTTCCTGAACTTTCTGTCTGTCTTCTGGGATATTAGCAATGCCACCCAATTTTGTGTCATCTCCAAATTTGACAAGCATTCCTTGTACCCTCTTAAATAAGTCATTAATAAAAATATTGAAGAGCTCTGAGCCTTGTGGTACCCTGGAATCCCTGAAATGTATCATTTCAGGCTTTAAATGAGATTGACATGGAGTAGAATTAATCCGCTAGAGAACAGTTCATGTGCTTTCTTGTGGCATGTCCACTTTTCTTTTAAAAAGTGAATGTATTCTATATTTTGGTTCAATTATGAGTAAATGTACTTATCTACCTCCCACAGACTATCGGAAGTTTCTGCTGTCCGGACAGAATCAAATAATAACACAATTAGCGGCTAAGTTTTTGTTTTCAGCTATGAGAATTTGCAAAACGCTATAGCAAGATTTTATACTATACTATGTATTTATTCTATGTATTTATCTTTGTGTAATTGGGCATAATAAAACTTTAAGGTTTCAAAAAGTAGCACCTAATGTCTTCCCACATGTACTGGTTTTAAATGTGAAAGGCGGTGATTGCTGTGGCATTTTTGTGGAGCAGCAAACATGTCACCAACGCTGCCTTATTATACCCTGATATAATTCAGAATATGCCTTTCTATTTGATCTTCCTAACTGTATAGATTTGGCCCATAATTCTCAATCTGTCAAGGGCAACTACACTAACACTGAGAGAAACATGTACTCCTCCTTCTTGTTATTACTAGATGATGTATTTTATTTTATTTTAGGTAGAAGGGAGAGGTTGTGACTATATTGTTCTGTGGTTGGATTGTGATAAGGAAGGCGAAAACATCTGTTTTGAGGTATGAGTCCTGTGGACACTTCATATTTATTATTTGACTGCAACACATTAGATTCCATTTATGGACATAACATTTATGGTTTTTAGACAAGTTCAAATACAGGTAGGGCAATTTGGTGGGCACTTTTGGTCATGCGGGGTAAGCTAGAAGACAGCCCATGGCTTGGTGGCTGCTGTCATTCATATAATTAACATTCATTTTTTTTGTTAAGTAACAGAGTACATTGTTGATCACCTACTGTTTGTCCAGTATATCCTGCTTTTAATTACTCAGTTGCATTTTAATCAGTGTGTAGTTTATTTTTTAACGTGAAAGAACTTCGTTCTGTTAATATTGTGAGCCACCTTTGATCCCCTTATCAGGAGAAAGGCAGCCTATAAATAAAACAAATAAAACAAATAATAGGAGTGGCATAATTGTCTTGCTTGTTTACAAATGTGATCTTGAGCTATTTCCATTTTTTCTGTGGTGCTTGCAGAAGGAATGTTCCTAGTAAATACAGGCAGTTTCTTTGATCTTTACTTCTCTCAGGTCCTGGATGCTACTCTTCCTGTGATGAACAAAGCTCGTGGCAACGAAAGGATCGTCTACAGAGCCAAGTTCAGCTCTATCACTGACACCGACATCTGCCATGCTATGAACCACTTGGGAGAGCCCAATCACAATGAAGCCCTGTCAGTGGATGCCCGTCAGGAACTGGATCTGAGAATTGGCTGTGCATTTACAAGGCATTCACACAGTTTTTCCTATTCTATCATGTTATTTCTTGGCATTGGCTAGGATATAGGCTAGAATTTACTCTTAATATGGAGGGTAGCACTCCCATCTTCTTATCCCTTATCCTAACGCTTAGGTGAATCAGTGGTGTGAACCTGTTTCTTCATTCCCAGTCATACCAATGACCTTGAGCGACCTAGGGGAGGACATTTCAAGACACAGTGGCCCCAGCTTGCATGACTGGGATACAGTATAGTACAGCTGTGAAGCAGAAACCTCTTTGTGGAGAAGCTGATCTCCCTGTTGACTGTGCCACTAGCTTGTCTCTGATTCTTTTGAGTACCTCTCTAAACTGAAGCGGAAGGCAAGGTATAAATGTTTTAACTAAATAAACTAAATAATAGTCGTTGAAATGGTTTCCCCTAGAAGCCCTTGGTAATAAGCATCAGCGTGTCAGCCTTTGTGAATTTCTCTTGTTGACTTTTAAGGTTATAAGGTTGACCAGTACTATCATCAGGTTCTATGATTATTCTATTGTTCTATGAGTGATTATATTATTCTAAGTCACCTAAAAATAATCAGACACTATCGGGGTTTTTTTGTGAGACAATGGTCATTCTAAAAATTGTTATTCCTATTTGTAAGAATTGTCCTTTTGTATTTTTAAAAAAGCAATTCCTATTTCTGTGGTACAGGAACCACACTAAATGCATTCTGTATGTAAAATGTGTGTCATTTATTGAAATTCATGTAAGATAGTTATAATCTGGCAACCAAATCTAGAAACCCATGCTAGACCCAGGCATCTTGGGTCTTTATTCCATATGTAGAAATAGCTAACATTGAAGAGATCAATATCAGAATGGTAACTGTTTGATTGTATTTATCTTAACAGGTTTCAGACAAAATACTTCCAGGGGAAGTATGGCAATTTAGACAGCTCTTTAATCTCTTTTGGTCCCTGTCAGACTCCAACACTAGGATTCTGTGTGGAGCGACATGATAAAATCCAGTCTTTCAAGCCTGAAACATACTGGGTGTTGCAAGCCAAGGTTAGTTATTGCCACCATTTCAGATTCCCTCTGCATTTAGTTGTTACTGGTTGAAACACAAAAACAAAGCAAGTGTATCATCTGAACGCTGAATTGTGTTTTGTGGAAGTCTGATCAGCTAAAAGGAGTCATTGTGTAGCCCCTCTGGAGCTGGCGGGGTCAGAGGCAAGCCAAAACAATGCAGAATGTACAGAAGCTCGGGCTCTTTGACATGGTTGTTTGACCAATGCAGGGGAGGGCAATGTGTGGCTGATCCCTAAAAGTATATTTCTGGATTTTAAAAATCCATATTTCCACTCCAGGAGGCTTCCAGGAGTGGCTGTTCTTTCATCAGGAGCACTGAAAGGGTCCTGTAAATCCCCTCCCCACCTTGAAAGAAAAAGGTAGAAGTGGCTTTCCAGGCATTTTCTGTTTCCTTAGCTTTTGTGATGGCTGAAAAGAGCTCTGTCAGGGCATGGCGTAGGCCACGGTGGGCTCTGGGCCAAAATTTGACCCACGAACCCTCAGGGCTTACCCAGTGCTGGACTAATGCCTCACAGACATGGTGTTTTATAGCTGCAGAGTGCAATGGAAACAAGAAGATAAATAAATACTTATTAACAGAAAAGCTTGCCTCCACTGTGGCAGTGATACGTTTCTTGTGGTTTTAGAAGAGGTAGCCATGTTTGCGGTAGCATGTCAGGCAAAAGCAAAATAGAAAAATTAAGAAGACAAAAATGTGGCATCTTAAAAGAATAACTGATATATTTTAATGTGACCTTTTGTGGACCAGTCCACTTCTTCAGACATCAAGTTCCTTATGCCCATTTGGGCCCTAATTATTTTGTAGAAATTTGAGATTTTGAAATGAGTAGATATCTGTATGCTCAAGATTATTGTAAAGAGATGTATGATTTAAAATAATTAAGGACTGGACATATGTGGTGCATTGTGAACCATAAGTATTGACTCTTCCTCTTACAAATAATGCATTCAGAAACTGGTTTGTTTTTTTTTTGCTACCAGTCTTGGGTGTTTGACATATCGTATCATCTTGATACTAGAGGAGAGATAAACTACATAGTCACAGTGCTCATTTGGCCTGCCTGGCAAAGCCAGTTACAAATCAGGATGTCACTAGACAAGAACTTAAGTTAGTCTTGCTTTTCTCTGTATCTTCCTCCCAGGTTAGCAATGAGAAGGACAGTTGTCTGACTCTGGATTGGGACAGAGTGAGAGTTTTTGACAGAGAAATTGCTCAGATGTTCCTGAACATAACAAAGGCGGCAAAGGAAGCAAAGGTAAGGCCATGGCAGTGATGTATATGAATTGCATTTCCTGTTTGAGAGCTTTTTGGTGCTAAGTTTAGGTAACATAGAATGTTTCATCTCATTTAGTTTTGCTGTTAATATATGGTGTTTTAAAAGTGCTGGAACTTAAGAGATACATAACATACCCATGTATCGGCTTCCTTCCTCCTGTACTAACTCGGCCTAAGAGAAATGAGCTGATCTTTTAGGTTAAAATTGTTGTTCCTTTTCAATTATTAGTGTGGAACAACAAACATAAAAAAAAGAAAACACACAATAGTTGCAGTAGCACGGTGGATTGGTTTTCAATCAAATTGATTTCAATCATGATTTAAACCACAATTTAAAATTTAAAAAACAGGTTTTTTTAATGATTTGAAGAAAAAGATTGATTTTTAAAATTTAAATTGTGATTTAAATCAATTTGATTTAAAAATCATTGATTTTTATCCATCAGCTGCAGTAGGGGTTTTTTTGTCTTGCAAAGGAAGTTTCAAAAAGGTAATAGCAACATTTCAGTAGCATAAACCCAAATTTGAAAAAAGTACGTTAAGATCAATATGTCTTCCCAATAGCAGAATTCTCCTGAAAATATGCACAACTCAACTTTGGAACGCCAATCTTCTAATTCCTATGTCACTAGGTATAGTAAGACAACTATCTTAAGCAGCAAGTACCATAAGATGGAAACTGTACTGAAGCTCCCACCTCATGGAAGCTGGTGGACACAGCTGTTTTTCACACATCTTTCCCTGTGTGGTCTCTCCTTTTGTCCTGCTGGAACAGTGGAGGATGCTGTCCTCATGTCCTTGTCGAAACATATTAACAATTGCCAGTCCCATCATCTTGAGTATCTAGAATGGCAGAGGGGACATCTTGTCCCTTTTTCCATGGTGCAACCCAAATAGTCCCTGTCAATGGAAT